CCGCCAGCAGCGCGGCCCAACCACGGGGCGCTGCCGCCGCCAGCCCCGCCCCCGGCCGCCGGGGCTCTCTGGGAAGCGTAGTTCTCCGAGCCCTGCCGGGAGCGCGCGGGCAGCGAGCCCCCACAGGCGGAGCTGGGGGTGGGGGTGCGGCTTTAGGCATCCTATGCTGGGGTCGAGCGGACCTCCTCTGCCTCGGTCCCATTGGAATGTGTTGGAGCCCAAAGACAAAGCTGGAAGTAAAGACACCAAACCCAAACACCGCTCCACTGTAGGGGACAAGAAAAACCCCAGCGAGTCCTTTCCCATTAGCGTGCAAAAAAGGTTGTACTTTTCCAAATGTCCTCACTGGGGCTGCTTTGTAGAGGAGGGCACCATGGCTTAGCTGGCTAAAGCGCCTGTCTAGTAAACAGGAGATCCTGGGTTCAAGTCCCAGTGGTGCCTTGCTTGTGAGCCTTTTTCAAGAAAGATGTGGAGACATTGAAGAAGGTCGGGGGAAGAGCAACGAAAAATGGGTAAAGGTTTGGAAAATATGGCTGATGAGGGAAGCCTGAAAGAATTGGGTTTGTTTGGTTTGGAAAAGAAGACTGAGAGGGGACACATAGCAGCTTTCAAGTAGCTAAAAGGATGTCACAAGGAGGAGAAAGTAAAATTGTTGTCCTTGGTCTCTGATGATAGGATAAGAAGCAATAGGTTTACATTGCAGCAAGGGAGTTTTAGGTTGGACATTAGGAAAAACTTCCTGTCAGGATGGTTAAGCACTGGAATAAATTGCCTAGGGGTCTGTGGAATCTCCATCACTAGAGATATTTATCAGGAAAAACTTAAAAAACAATGAATAGTCTAGCAGCACCTTAAAGACTAACAAACTATGTAGATGGTATTAAGAGCTGTCGTGGGCACAACCCACAGTTATAATACTCCAGTCATCTGAAGAAGTGGGTTGTGCCCAAGAAAGCGCTTGATATCATCTATATGTTTTGTTACTCTTTAAGGTGCTGCTAGACTATTTGTTGTTTTTTAAGTTTTCCCAGTTACAGACTAACTCTGCTACCCCTCTGAAGATATTTATCATGTTAGACAAACATCTGTCAGGGATGATCTAGAATGGATGGTTCTTGGTCCTGCTGTGAGGGCAGGGGACTGGACCAGATGACCTCTCATTCTAGTTCTAATATTCTATGATTGTAAAATGTTACCATATACTGGTCTATACTGTGTTGTGATGATCTCTCTCTCTCTCTCTCTTGTATGCACATACCCTTTTTCCTAGACTAGAATAATTTAGTTTTAAGAACTAGTTACCAGCCAGTCTTGCACAAAGTACATTCTAACTTTAATATATATGGATTCACTGCCATATGCACTCTATGCTATTAAGTTTATTATTAAGTTTATTATTAAGTGCCTCATGAAGGGCGGCAGATTATCCCACCTCCACCTTTTGTGGGCATTTTCATACTTTCCGGTGAAGCCTCTGGATGGATCCAAGGTAGAGCCTTGCATGGATACAAAATTGGTATCCTCATCCATGTCTTAACAAATGCAGAATCCTGTGGATTTTCAGTGTTCTAATTATGGGTCTGATCCAGTATGGTAAGTCCTATGTTCCTAACAAAGCCATCAGCTGTTAAGCACATAGAAGATATTACTGGTGTACATTAGTAGCATAAATAACATTTTACATACATTATAGCATAATGCTTCTCTAAGTTTATTACAAAGTGACAAGATGTTAATTATTGAAGCTACAGAATTAGTATAGAAATAAAGATGGACAGAAAAAGCGGGTCAGTGTGGAATAATTTGTACAGTGTGGATCTGGCAGTGCTGGAAGTCAACGAACTGTAAAAACCCTATACATATAGGAAAACCACTTCAAGCCAAGGAGTGCAACAGCACCCCCAGTGCCCTCAGTTCCAGCACCTATGGTCAGTTGGTAAAGAGAAAAAGAAGGCTGTAATACCCTGGAAACATTTGTCTAAATCAGGGGTACTCAACAGGTGGCCCGCCAGTTTGTCTGCAGCCCGCAGTGCCGTTTGGGTTTACATGGGGCTCAACATGCAGCCCATGGGTAGGATCCTTTGAACATGGTCTCCACTGGGAACACGCTCTACAATGGCAAGTCAATATAATGGTCTTCTCCTTGTATGCGTTTTAGTAAATTCCTGGACTGTCATTGTTTATTAAAAGTGCTGTCATATGGGTGGATATTGGGTAAAGATTGCATTTTATTAATATCAGCAGAACTGATTTAAATGGGGCCTGCATATTGTGAAGTCTTGCCTTAATCTTTGTATTTATGCCCATCAATGTGAAATAAACTATTTGCATATATTTGCATATATATTTGCATGTATATGCAACCACACTTAAGTTGCAGCCCTCGGCATGTGCAGTGAGCATCATTTTGGTCTCCAGGGCTTCCAAAGTTGAGTAGCCCTGGTCTAAATGATGAATCTCTGTGTGCACTAGCAAAACGTAGTGCATTTTCAAACTTTCTATGTATTTAGAGCTGGAGGTCCCAGATTATGATCATATTGGAAGTTTCTTTTGAAAGCCCACAAAATATATATTTAGTTTTCTAAAATCAATTTTGATGCCAGTTGGGAGGTTCTTATTGAGTAGTGATTCCATTTTGCCAGGAGGGAATCAGAGGTGCCGGATGCTCCTAAAACTTGGAATAAAGACTGCTAGGAAAGGAGTCCCCTCTTTCTGGGTAGAGGCAGGACTACTGTGTACTGTCCTGGACAGATTGTTTTCCAGGGTAGCAAGGCACAGCTCTGAGAGGAATTAATTAATGCAAGCTCCGTGATAGAAAATCTTCACCTCACAAACTGCAAACAAGTGATATGGTTTAAGTTCAACTCAGAGGGGAAAGGTTTGTGATTTCATTGCCAGAGATCCCAAATTCAAATGCCATGGCTTCTGGATTATTTAGGTGTTACTCTTGCATCCCACAACCAGTCCTTAGTGTTATTTTCACAGTTTGAGGCTCACTTTTCACTAATCTTATAAAATATTTAATCTTCTAATGTAAGTATAATATAAGTGTGCAGGAAAAATTGCAAGTTTTCAAACCAGTTTTATTATTTCTTAATCCCTTTCTTAAATATTACAATCAAAATGTTCCGTGTTTACAAAGGTATGAGTTTTGTCAAATCACTTTCCCAAATAAAATCCAGACTGATAAACATAAACAATGAGAAGATGGGAAAGGGGAAAAGAAGAAAGAATAGATGTTCTTTTTAATGTTCCATTGTTAGCTGTCTGGCGATTGTTGCCTGCTGCAAGCTGGAGTAATGGCTGTCTGCTTGGATATGCCGAGTTCTCAAGATCATCTGAGGCCAGATTGGAGAGCTTGGATTAAATTCACAGATTACATTCTACAGCCTGACAGTTTTCATTGCTCTCCCAGGGAAAGGAGACAATGCAGGCAGCCTCACATGAGCAAAAAACAAACAAGAAATCCCCCATAAATGTATGACTAGCTTGTGTACATTAATACCATTTGATAAACACCATGACCAAAGTTTTAATTAACATGCTAAATTGGAGCAGAAAGTTAAGGTAAGAAAAAAAAAAGAAAAGAAACACAAAACAAACAGAATACAAGTCAAATTGCCCTTTCCAAATTATTTTGGGTTTTATATTTCTCAGTCCACCAAGAACTAATAAATATGTAGCTCACAGCAGTCTTTTTCAGAGACCTCCACTAGTCTTTTAACCCAAACATTTTAAATCAAAACCAAAACAACCTTGAGCAGCCTCAAAGCATGTCAGATAGAAATCAGTTCTTAAAACATGTTTCTCAAACATACTGGGTCCTTTCTAGTATTAATTTTAGTTAAATGATTTTAGACCCTTTCTCCCAAGTATTCCAAAGGCCTTTCATTTATTATATTCCCTCTCTGTGAGTCAGTCATGTTGGTTGGTCTGTTGGCACAACAGACCCACATGGGAGTAGAGAATGATTGATCTGTATTCTCAGCTACCAAAATTCATCTGGTGTAGTTCCTATGGGACAGCTAGGGAGCTTGACAGAAACACCTGCGTCCTCCTCCCCATGGAATATAGAATTGTTTACTGGGATGGAATGGGGTTGTTTCTCTCTCTTGAGAGAGGCAGCTGCTGGTGGGTGTCACATACACAGCCAAAGGTATCAGATGTTGGGGCAGCCTTGTGAATGGAGGGAGGAGCAAAACAGTCCTTTGCAAAAATATTATAGGCAGAAGAGGTAGCAATGCCTGTAGTTAGGGTTGCCCAATATTTTTTATTATAAGATCCTGTTTTCAGTTGCTTGAAACTTTAACAAGTTTAATTTGTTTAACTAGTTTGTACTTACATTTTCTGTCAGGTGTCTGCTTCAGGCTGAATATTTTGAGAAAATATTGAGAATAAATGGTTAAATGACTGGGAGAAAAAATACATTGTTTTGCTCATGTTAAATGTTTTTCTTATAACTGTTTTGTTAGGAAGCATTTGTGTCTCCATACATTGGAGCAGGGAATTGAAATTAGGCAGGGATGTGCTTCTTACTGTCCCTCTGAAAAAAAACCCTCTATTTGACCAAGGTATAAGCCTTTCAAAAAAGTCTCAATTTGCATATATTCAGTAAAGACATGTTAGAATTTGTCAGGTAAATTCTGTGAAGATTCTGTTTCAGATAATTTCTTGTGTATTGGGCACACTCCAGCCCAGGATATAGAGGGCTGAGTGGTACAATTGCTGTTCCTGGTTGTAAAGTAACTGGGACCTAGTTTGGGGAGACAAATTGGATGTGGAGCTGGAGTAACATCGTGGGAGTGATTAAATGAGGATTCCCTCCCTTATTCAGTGCACAGGGTGAATGGTGTTCTAGTGAGGCAATGGGGCTGTGTAATGAAGAAAGTTGTTGTCTACTCTATAAGACCCCTGCTTGAAACGTTGCAGAAGTCAGTAGATATGTAGTGAGCTGGGGCCATATGTTGAACAATGTGAATAAAACAAAATATTGAATAGTTGATCATTCAATGTGCACTCTCAGTTTTCTGCACTAAATGAGGCAATGGACTGGTGGAAAAAATAGCAAGTGATCATGTAATTAAAGATTTCTATCATGCATATGCGCAGGGGAGCCAAATTAAAGTTACAAAGGCAATCTTAATTTTGGCATATCCTAGCTTTGGAGGAATTGATAAAAATCTGTGAAATGTGTTATTTTTAATATTTTAAAATTTATTTTTTAATTTCACATTATTTTGTTTTACTGTACCTGTAGAGAGCTGGGTGGCCCAGGAGGTAGAGGTAAGGTCCTGCCCCTGAGATTGTATGTCAGAGGTAGAGTGAGCAGACAGCAAGTGGAAAAAGTTGGGATTGGTCCTGCCTTGGGTAGGGGGCTGGAGCTGATGACCTCCTGAGGTCTCTTCCAGCTCTATGATTCTAAGGGGGAGTAATAGGTACCAATGTAAGACAAAGCCCCCTATAACATCAAGGCATCTGGTCACTCCAGTGGGAGGCCTGGGAGGAGAGGGGGCAGCACAGGGACCTCCACTTTGCAATCCCCATAGCTGTGGGATGAGTTTTTAATTTTATGCAGACTTTTTTATTTTATTTCACATTTGCAAAAAACATGACTCTGGTGATAGATTTAGTTATTCTGTTCCATGTGATTAGGGAGACCTTGAAGTCATAATCTGGTGAGGGAGTTGGTTCTGGGAAAGTCACTGTCAGAAAGGGAAGGTGTAGGAAAAAAGTCCAGACTACTATTCTTTTAACAGCCCTTGGATCTGGATCAAGGCCAGCCTGACCATATAGGTGAACTAGGTGGTTGCCTAGGGTACCAGGCTTTAAGGAGCACAAAATTAGATGGAAATGAATTTTTTTCTCCATTTGAAAAGATATATTCATCTGTTATCTCTTAAAAATGAAAGTATCAAATATTGTACTTATAAAACAGAGCATCATTGCCATGCCAGAAGTTGAGTTATATTATTTACTAAAAGACTTACCCGGTATTGTCGGGGGTCAGGTTGGTCCAGGACAGCTGGGGCTGCGCTGCTTGCCTGCTGGCTTCTCCCCAAGGCTAGTCTGGGGTTGAGGGAGGGAAGCTGTACAGCACAGTTAGCAGCTGCTCCACAGGGGCTGCCAAGCACACGGTCTCCCGGGGCGTCCTGGAGCGGCAGGGGCTGCGTGATGGCCAACAGCTAGTCCCTTGGGCAGGCAAGGGTAACTGCTGTTGGGTTGGAGCACTTACTGCCCCCCTGTGGTCATTCATGAGTATAACTCTCCCCTATGTTTGCTGACCCCCTGTAGTCATTCATAACTGTCCCTGCTATCACACTTCTCCATTTCTTTTTATGTGAAATAGTTGCATTCCATGCACATCCCATTGTCCTGGCACAACCAACCCCTGACCTTGCTTTAAGTTATAGTAAGAGGAAACATCATACCAAATTTGGTCATTCAAGCTCTTACCAACTTTAGGAAGAGTTCTTGAACAAACGGACTCACAGACAGATGCACATTCCTAAAATATGTAGTAAGAACATTTCACATTGTGGAGCATGGCTGCTTATGTAAATACAGTGAAATGTGTCATAGCATAGCTTCAAATAGAGCGCTGCCTGGGTTTGCTGCCCAGGGGCAGAGTTTGGCAATTCAGTCATTCTCAGTAGCCCAGTGTTGGCCAGTCATACAGGTGAGTCGGTGTTGTTTACCATTGCTTAGTGAGGGGCCAGCGATCCACAACAGCTGTTCTGCTGTGTTACAAGCTGTGATCTAGAAGATGTTGTGCCCATGAACAGGGGTGTATTGTTTTGGACTTGAAAAATTTAATAAGAGGTTTTAACAAGATTGTAAAAGGAGAATCATAAGAACTTGTAAGACTAAGATTGTAAATTTATTGTAGACTAGCTGGAGTTACCCGGCGTTGCTCGGGAAACCGGAGGAACAAAAACAGTAGAAAAACAGTAGTCCACTATCTTTTTTTGAATGTTAGAAAAGTTGCGCTGATTTCTATAGGGATTAAAAGATCCGTGTCAATCCTGAAGTGGGGGGTGTGACTCCAGGGGTGGAGGGGAGGTTACATGCGGGAGGGACACCCCATGTGCCTTGGGGGACAGGGCGGGTGCCTGAGCCAGTGTGTGCATGGGGGTCGGGGCACTGCGTGCTGGCACGAGGGGGGCGGGAGAAGAGGGTTGCTTATGTAACTTCGTGAGCAGGACGGGGTGAGTCCTGGATGGCGCTGGGGGCTGCAGGCGGTGGGCACAGGACCTAGGGTGGGCAGGACGGCACCTGAAGGGCAGTGCGGCGGGTTACTTTTTGATTTTTACAACTTGAGCTCGGGCCTGATTGAGTCCAAAAGTACCTTAAAACCTTCTCTTGGATGAAAGGTTATCCCACGCAAAGTGTAGTTGCGGTAGCTCTTACAGTGTCCAAGTTATTAGCACACAAACTTACAAACATTCTCCTTTATATATTAGATTATTATTGTTAAAGTAATGATAAAGCCCTGATTTTCAAACACTTGACTGCTAATGTTAACAAATACCATTTAATATATACATTCCTTTCTGCTACTGGGTGGTTTACCATATACAGTATGTGCGTTAGGAAAAATGAAAAGTAGGAAAAACATCAGTACTAATGTTTATTTTTATATTGTTCATTTTGAATGCCAAATAAATAATGGTAACATTTAATTTTAGACATCTCATTGTTCTCTATAATTGAAGGACAGGGAGGTGCCAAAGTCATACCTCACTTAGGGCGCCAAAACCCTTGGGTCGGTCCTGACCTGGTGCCTTCTAGAATGGGTGAGGTAAGGTTCCTCTTTCTTCCAGCTGGCACAAACAGGTGTTTGGGGTAATCTGAACAGAAGAATGGCCATTCTGGGTCAGACCAAATGTCCATCTAGCCCAGTATCCTTGTGTTCTGACAGTGACCAATGCCAAATGCCCAGAGGGAATGAACAGAACAGGCAGGAGTGGCCTGAGGCTGGCTGCGGCAGCTGGTGCCCCAGGTGGGCGGCGCAATTGGTGCCCCCCCCACATCTGTCAATGGCCGTGATGTCATCATGGGGCACCCCGACGCCCCGTGACATCATCATTGGGCGCCCCGATGCCCTGTGACGTCATCATTGGGCGCCTGGGCCAGCAGCACTCTAGGCAGCTGCCTAGTTTGCCTAGGCTCACAGGCCGCCTCTGAGAACAGGTAATCATCAAGTGATCCTTCCCCTGTCACCAGTTTCCAATTTCTGACAGACACTAGGGACACCATTCCTGGTGACAGCCATTGATGGACCTATCCATGAATTTATCTAGTTCTTTTTTGAACCTTGTTAAAGTCCTGGTCTTCATAACAGCCTCTGGCAAGGAGTTCGCAGGCTGACTGCGCAGCATGTGAAGAAATGCTTCCTTTTGATTGCTCTAAACCTGCTGCCTAATAATTTCATTTGGTGACCCATAGTTCTTGCATTTCCTTATTTACTTTCCCCATATCAGTCATGATTTTAAAGATTTGGCTCTAACATATCCCCCCTTGGTTATCTGTTTTTCAAGCTGAAAAGTCCAGGTCTCATTAATCCCTCCTTATATAGCAGCCATTCTATACCCCCAATTATTTTTGTTGCCCTTTTCCTAACTTTTTTCAGTGCCAAGATACCTTTTTTGAGATTTGGTGACCACATCTGCATGCAGTATTCAAGATGTGGTCATACCACAGATTTACCACAGATTTATATAGAGGCAGTAAGATATTCTTTAACCCTTTCTTAATGATTCTGAACATTCTGTTTGCTTTTCTGATGGCTGCTGCACATTGAGTGGATGTTTTCAGAGAACTATCCATAATGATTCCAAGATCTCTCTCGAGTGGCAACAGTTAATTTAATCCCCATCATTTTACACATATAATTGGTATTATGTTTTCCAATATGCATTACTTTACATTTATCAACATTAAAATTCAGCTGCCATTTTCTTTCCCACTCACCTAGTTTTGAGAGATCTTTTAGAAGCTCTTCAGTCTGCTTTGGTCTTAACTACCTTGAGCAGGTTAGTCCCATCTGCAAATTTTGCCACCTCATTGTTTACTCCTTCTCCAGATCATTTATGAGTTTGTTAAATAGGACTGGTCCCAGTGTGGACCCCTGCAAGACACCACTAATTACCTTTCTCCATTTTGAAAACGGACTATTTGTTCTTACCCTTTATTTCCTTATTTTAACCAGTTATCAATCCATGAGAGGCCTTTCCCTCTTATCCCACGATAGCTTACTTTGCTTAAGAGCCTTTGGTGAGTGACCTTGTCAAAGGGTTTCTGGAAATCTCAATGCATTCCATCCACTGGATCCCCCTTGTGCACATGCTTGTTGACCCCATGAAAGAATTCTAGTGGATTGGTGAGTATGAGTGGGAGCTGCTTGGATGCCTTTTGCAAGGGGCAGGGTACACAAACCACAGGAAGGGTCAAAGAATGGTCAGGTGATTGGGGTTGCAGGTGACTCAAAAAAGAGGGTCCAAGTCCGGTCACAGAAAGAGCCACTGAAGCTAGTTGCTAAGGAAAAGTTCACCTTCAGTGCCCAGCCAAAAAGAGAACTGCAGAAGGTAAGACTAGGGTTCACGAAGGAGGGGTGGAGCAGCTGTGAAAGATCTGAATTTAAGAGGAGACAAGTTGGAAGCTAGGAAGGCTAGAATGTAAAAGCCAGTCCCCTTGAGGGCAGACTGTGAAATCCTGGATTTAGAGGAGCCAAAAGGAGCTCTTCTTAGAGGTGGATTGTGCTAAAAAACAGACAGCTGAGACCGAAGTATGAGTGGGATCTGCTTGAAGGCATGTGGTAAGGGGCTGGGCACAAGACCCGACAGGAATCAAACAGCACCAGGTGGAGCCCACCCACCCGCAGCTTGCAAAACTAAAAGGCAGCTGTGCCTAGAAGTGCGTCGAGACTCCAGGCCCCAGATTGTGGCTCTGTCCAATCAGCCTGGCCGGGGATGATCCCAAGCAGGTAAAAGTCCCAGCAGACAAAGCACTGCGGCTGGGGGCACAGGAGCCTGGCGGCCTGCGGGAAGGAGGAGGAGGGCGGCGCGGGCCACCCAGAGGACCAGGGAGGAGAACGCCGGCTGCCCGGGGGGAGGAGTCTCGTAGGGCCGGGCTCTGGGCGGCACGACCGAGGATAGGCGTGTGGGGGCGGGGCGCCGAGGGGGTGTGATGCGCCGAGGGAGGGGTCAAGTCGCTCCTTTGCATTCGCTCAGACAATGGGGGAAATGGAATGTCGGCACCGGAAGTGAATCCGTCCAGCCGCTTCACACATTCCTCCGCGTCGGAAGTGGCTGCGGCCTTGCCGTGGCCGGTCTCTAGGGCAGGGAGCGGGCCCTGGGCTGGGTTTGTCCAGACCTCCGTGCCCGGCTGGGGCTGGGGGGGTGAGGTGGAAGTTTTCCGAGCGTCCTGATAGGGTCAGGGACTCTTTTCCGGGGCGGAGGCGGAGGCGCACTGTGCTCTTCGCTTCCGCTAGAGGGCTTTTCTACGTACACGTAACTTCCGGCCGAGTCAGACTCAGGGAGGAGGAAAAAACACACACACACAACAAAACCCGACGGGGAGACACAAACAAACGGGAGGAGACGCCGCGGCGGGGC